CTCTAGCAGTGCCATTGAAATTTGACCTTGACGCGTCAAGACGCATCTGGTTGTGAGTCATGTGATCGTGTTTGAAAAATTTAGTTGGAAATCAACGGCCGACTCCTTCCTACCTTACGCATACCCTTGACCAGGTTATCTCACTTTACTCTAACTCCTAAATTCATCATGGCTGAATGGCATGTGTCTTTCGAGGGTATACTTGCCCTTCATCAGAGTGGATTTGTGGCTGCCTCACTGAAATCATGTCGAGATATTCTGAGAACAGTCAGGGACAACATCATTGCCCAAAATAACTCAAAGGATGAACCGCTTGAGTTGCCAAAGGCATTGAAAAAGGTGTGATTTATTTTTCCTATATATAATAACTAATTTTACCGCAATTCAAAGGCTATCAGACGTTACTACCGCCAATTCTTAACCGATGAAGACGACATACTGGCAGAAGAGGAACTTTTGGGAGATGAGCCCGATAATGAGAAGTTTGGCCTATCTCCTGAGGAGAGGGAAGCAGCAGCCCATCCTAAGGATGCGGGCTTCTACAAGAAGGAAGTTAGTGACTGGGATGTTGCGCAGAAGCTATTTAAGCAGGAGATCGATCAGTACGATAAGGAGGAGCAAGTGAAGTTAGGGGCAAAGAACGAAATCAAGTATAGAACTGGCCATGCTAGGGAATGGTTCAGAAACATGACCCCTGCGCAGAGGAAGGAGGTTGAGGATGCACGGGAAAAGTGGAATAGGGAAGGCGCTCCTCCTGAATCACAAGCCATGTGAGTATATAAATTGACTATTAAAGTTCTCCTATTGACTACTTTGGCAGGTATCGAAAGAGGCACCTCAAAAAATACCTTGATGACTTCACCGAACAAATGTGTCGTACCATGGGATGTCGAGTTGTGATCCTAGCCAGTCACAAGAAACCTGCAGATCAGACTTTGAACGTCATCGTGTGAGTGTATTTTTAACACTTCGTTCTTACGGTATAATGACAGAATATGATTACTATCTAGTAATGAGTCAAAGCCTGTCAATAGTAAAAAACATTTTACCCAGAGTTCTCGAGGAAATAAGCAGTGGACGTCGGAGGGTTTTGAAAAATATGCAGAATGGTCAAAGTTGGAATTTTGTGAGTGTTTATTTGCTGAAATGTTCTCCGTGATTAAGGAACCATCAGATCCGGAGGAAAACGACGACAATTCAGATGAAGAAGACAAAGACAAAGACAGTGGCCTACCTGATCTCATTTTGGACAATAACGGCTATGCGAAGCTTCCCTCCCAAGCTGGTGTTCCTACCAGAGGGCAACAGGAATTGGTTCGTCAAATATTCCGTGCATCTTACAGTGAGTAGTTGTTTGCTTGGCAAATTTTGTGTGAGTCACCATCAGTTATACAGAGGTCTTAACCGACACTTCCAAACCTGTACCTTGGCGTGATGTGGTGGGAAACCCCACTTTGTACCTTGATCCCGATTCCCTTCCCAAAGGCTTCATCTTGAGAGACCCGTCTCATATGAGGGCCGAAAATGTCAATCAGCTATGGACTCATTGGGAGGGTAGGAAGGCTGCAAAGAAGCCTCTGGTTATTTTCATGGCTGCTAAAATTGGTGATATGAGCAAGAAGCGCCTTGAAAATGCGGTTCCCTACCAGGAGAAAACTAAGAAGAAGTATGTCGAAATCGAGCCAGCCAAGACTTCTAGCACCACTGGGGGAGCCAGTGCACGTCCTACATCTCGTAGGATGAGGCCGGCCGGGTCTGACCCCTCTGAGGACGAGTCAGCTGGAGCAGCTCCCACGTCACGTAGGAAGACGTCGGCCGAGCCCCATTCATCTGAAGATGAGCCGGCCGGAGCAGCCTCCACAGGACGTGCTCCCAGACCAGCCACCCGGCAGCTGGGTGCGCCAGCAGCTGTGCCCATCAAGGATCACATTCAGTTCTTGAAGTCCCTCAGCAACAACAATGAATACCTGCTTTTAGTTGAGGGTATCAGAGACTTTGGCAAGGTATGCTGACAATTGATCGAGTTATACTCTGTACTCACCAAGCCTAGGAACCAAGCCTGAAGGAGCAAAAGGAATGGCCTGCCTGGGCAACTTGGTCCTGGGAGGGGTCTTACCTTCCGAGTGGCGTGCACTCTGTTGATCGTGATGTGCACAAGTTCTTGCAGATAGCTGAGTCTGTCAAGATCAGTGGCTTTTCGTCTGCGATGCGAGTCACCCTAGGTCTTGGGTTGCTGCTCAGGGAGTGTAAACGAGCCATCGAGTATGAGGAAGATGAGGTCGCCTTCGAAACCCCAGCTTACATTAGCTCATCTTTCTTGGATATCAAGATTCTCGACCTGGTTGTAGAGGCAGTTAAGAAGGTCAGAGGTGGGGCTATGCGTCTGCTGAAGGCAAAGCTTGTTCAGCAGGAAAGTGCTATCGTTGATAAAGCTGTGGTTGGAGAAGGTAGTGGAGCTGATGATGGTATGGACACCACTGCAGACGGTGAACAGGGAGTGACCGAGGAGAAGCTGGCGGACGAGTTGAAGAAGCTTGAGGAGGAGAATTGCAGGAGCCAGGAATTGAAGCAGGAGCTGGAGGCGAAGAGGCTTCAGTTGAAGGAGGTGCAGGAGGTAAACAGTCGTCTGGCAAAAGAAATGGAGGAGAATGAGAAGCGAGTAGAAGTGGAAGAGAAAGAGAAAGATGACAATGAGGAGGAGGAGGAGGAGGAGGAGGAGGAGGAGATGAAAGGGAAGAAAAGAACAAAGTTCGGCAGATCTCAAAAGCCATCCAAGAAGGTCAGTGGTGATGTCCGTCGATCTTCGAGATCTAGACAGCCCACTAAGAAAGCTATGAAGCATTAACTTGTCTTTGCCTTACTGGTTCTTTGCCTTACTCGAATATCACTTACCAATATATCACCTTGCTTGTAACAATCTGCATCAATATCATGACATTTTGCTCACCTATTGATCTATAGGGCTATTAACCTCTACTTAGAAGCTGGCCAGTCCAGGTACTACAGCCCTGGCTGGTCAATATCTACGGGCCTATTACCCTGTACTTAGAAGCTGGCCAGACCCAGTCCTACGGGTGTGGCCTGTCAGTAAATACTGGCCTGTTACCCCCCACCCAGAAGCTGGCCAGACCTGGTCCTACGGGTGTGGCCTGTCAGTAAATATGGGCCTATCACCCTGTACTTAGAGGCTGGCCAGACCCGGTCCTACAGGTGTGGCCTGTCAGTAAATACAGGCCTATTACCATGTACTTAGAGGCTAGCCAGACCTGGTCCTACGGGTGTGGCCTGTCAGTAAATATGGGCCTATCACCCTGTACTTAGAGGCTGGCCAGACCTGGTCCTACGGGTGTGGCCTGTCAGTAAATATGGGCCTATCACCCTGTACTTAGAGGCTGGCCAGACCTGGTCCTACGGGTGTGGCTGGTCAGTATCTACGGGCCTATTACCCCCCACCCAGACTGCTGGCCAGACCCGGTCCTACAGGTGTGGCCTGTCAGTAAATACAGGCCTATTACCCTGTACTTAGAGGCTGGCCAGACCCGGTCCTACAGGTGTGGCCTGTCAGTAAATACAGGCCTATTACCCTGTACTTAGAGGCTGGCCAGACCTGGTCCTACGGGTGTGGCCTGTCAGTAAATATGGGCCTATCACCCTGTACTTAGAGGCTGGCCAGACCTGGTCCTACGGGTGTGGCTGGTCAATATCTACGGGCCTATTACCCCCCACCCAGATGCTGGCCAGACCCGGTCCTACGGGTGTGGCCTGTCAGTAAATACAGGCCTATTACCCTGTACTTAGAGGCTGGCCAGTCCAGGTACTACAGCTCTGGCTGGTCAATATCTACGGGCCTATTACCCCCCACCCAGATGCTGGCCAGTACATTCTCTACACCTCTGGTATATTTTTCCTGTAGCCAAGACATACAGGTCCTACTGGCCCAGCTGGTCTACATCTACATCTATGTCACACAGTTGATTTATTATTACTGTATGTAGAATGAGCATCAGCCAGAATGGCCCTACATCCCGGCCAGTGCAGTGCCTACAAGGATTTAGTACAGCCGGCCAGCCACTGGCTGCACACATCCTACGGCCATTTGGCACGTCCGGGGTACAGGTTCTACGTAGGGTCTTGACTGAACTATGTGCTAGGTAGTATGATTTCTGCTGAGCCCAGTGGGAATCAGCTTTTTACAGTGTACAACACATCCTTGAGCAATATATGAGTCCGGGATTGACCATTTGGTAGATCAATTAGGATGTTACCCTTTCCTATAGCCTCAAAGGTGTGTTGATCGGCAGTTGTTATGGGTTTTGGAGTGATATTGATGAAATCTTTGAACAGATCGCGGTATGACGACATATGTTGTGATGTGCCAGAGTCGAACAGCTCTGTTCGTTGTTCTTGGCTATGGCTCGAGCTTGTCAGCATTGAGTATGTGAGCGAGGTTTATTCATCTGTTCCTGTGGTTTCATGCACTAACCAAACACCTTCAGGCTCGTCGTCTTTTGCATTGTCTTTGGCGCTGGCGGCTGTTTCGGGTTTCTTGTCCCTACTCCTCCTGTCTGATCTCCCTTTTTGTTTGCTCCCCCGCCGCCAGGACCTCTGCAATCCTTTTGCATGTGTCCATACTTGCCGCAGTTGTGGCAGTTCCCTTTTATCCTTCGAGTATGCTGACTTGAATTTGCATTATAGGCCGCATCATCACTTGAAGATCCGGTCTTTTTCAACTTTGATGCTCAATGATTGTATTCATTGATGATTGTCGACATAAGTGTATCCGAGGTGAGCTTGACACTGGACACTTTAGCGGATGCCGTTAATGTGGATAGATGAGGATCATAACTGCCTGGCAAGGAGCTCATAATAATTGCTGCAAAGCTTTCATCACTAGGTGCGTGTCCTAGCGACACCAACTGTTCCTTGATTGTTTGCATTTTATCAAAATGCTCTCTGACATTCCCTTTTTCAGGACACTTTTGATCTTGGAGCTTCTGCAGCAGCTCAACAGACACTACACATGAGCATTGTTCGAAGAGGTTTGAGAGGTGGGTAAATATTTCTTTTGCTGTGTCTAGGTCCTTGATCTGGATGAACAGGGAGTCGGGAATCATTCCTGCTATCTGCTGTTTTGTTATAGCCTGGCCCATGCACCATTCTTTCAATTCAGCCTTGTACATGCTGACCTCTTTTACTTCATCAGGAGTTGATGGTGTCCACAACACTCCTCTGCCAGGCAGTCCCTGAGGATCAATTGGCTTAGTCTCGGTGCCATCCAAATGGCCAAGCAGCCTGCGAGCATCAATGGACCACTGCAAATGTTCCTTATACATCATCCAGTTTTCACCATCTGCGGCAAGCTTTGGGATACGGAGAAAGTCTTCTCCGAGTCTTCCATTCAAGGTAGACATTTCTTTTTGAGTCTTTTCTTTGCGCACTTAATTTGAAATTTTACTGTTGGCCGTCAGGGCTCATAACCTGTTGCAGCAGTAACTCAGTGGATGTGCGAAGTCAACTAGATATATTGATATGTCACAAGTAGCTGGGGGAGTAATGTATCAAGTACTCGCACATGTAGTTAAGGGTAATACAAGAATCACTCTGTGCTGTAGGGCCTGTGATACATCAATATACTGGTTTGTACAGTCCTCCAATAGGCTGAGCATAGAATATGAAGCAAGGGATTCTCGATCTTACAGATCTCGTATGTTGTTGGTACCTGGCATTCTTGATCTTACAGATCCCTAAGTCATCAGTACCTGGTCATCCTGATCTCGTTCCTAGTGATCAAGCTATGTTTAGTGCAAGATATAAATATATTAACGCCTAGTGTTAAGTACATGAGTGATGTATCAGTCATACAACTGGGGCTGCGCGTCGATGGTAGGTTCATCCTCACTGTCCGGTGGGTTCTCCAAGCATCAGGAAAATGTGGTAAGCCTATATAGCCATCCATAGCACTATAGCAAGCTATATAGTCTTCATAGACCCAAAGCCCATATAGACAAGTGCCTGATTTTGCAGGCTTACTAGACCTATGTATAGTGCACTATAGTGACATACAGTGTATTGTAAATATATACTACTATCATATACAACCAATGTCAATTCAATTTAAAACTATACATGACTATACGTGACTATGCTATATCCAAATTTTGGTATAGTAGTTGAATTTACTGTCTATGAGATGCTTTAAATGGGCACATATTCATATTGGATAGATTAAAGTGCCTATTTTAATACTATTAAGCAATAGCAACATCAGAAGTAGTACTAGGAGCATTAGTTTGTACTCTAGCTGACGCCTCCATAGCATCAAAATCTAATTCTGACCCAAAATCCTTATCCTCTCTCACTACAAAGCGACATGCCTCCCTGTGGTGGCAATTATTAGCCCAATATATCTATATAAGATAAAGAAAGCTCTTTTATCCAACCTCTGTCCACAGATCTTGACATAGTTTCTCCATATACATGGGAGATTTCTGTCAGTATTCAGCAAGCTTCAGCATATAGTACTGGTGTCTAAAGAAATCTAACATTAGTTGACATCAAACTATAACAAAACAGTGAGACTCACCTTGGTTGAAAGACTGGCTCTTTGAATTCTATGACGACTGGGGAACCAGTGAGCATACCATTGAATGTGCATTCAGCCTGAAAAAAAATTAGCTATAGCTAAATTCACAGAAAGGCTTCATTACCACAGTAGCAATTAATGCAAGAAGGTTATCAGGGAGTTTTTCAAACTCATCCTTGTACAGCAAACCTTCTGATACTGCGCTTTGAAGAAATTGACTGATGAGTAGTTGACGCAAGAGTGCTGCACGAAATGGTAGATTCTTGTTGAAGGTCTTGCTCTAAAACATACTTAACTTTCATAACATCATAGACACAAGAGACGTACCTTGAGATCCAATTCACCACATAGAAAAGGATCCTTTTTGGCAGAAACAAGCCATGAAGCGACTTCACCTATCTTGAAATCAGTATTTTTTTTTGGGGGAAATAAGTTATGCACCAATATCCCTAGGTTTCATTTGCTGCAATAGAAAAATGACATTCTCTCTCGCCTTTCTAACCAGCTCCCCTCTCAACTGACTAGCACCAGACCACACCTAAAAACAAATAAGCATGAGGTGCAACCACAACCATAACACTCACATAAGTTAGAGCTCTATTCTTCAAAATAGGATCTTGGCTGATGGCATCAAACATTGGCTTCAGGGGAGAGCCTGGATTCTTGACCGCTTCTTTGATGCAGTCCCATGCAAAGGAGTCCTGCACATCCACAGAAGGGCCTGGAAAAGCATTCACCAAAGCTATCTTGATGTGAAGTAGCTGGTGAGCAAGATCGACTAAGGAACCACACCCATCCTTCTTCAAGGAAGCTAAAGTGGTAGGTAGTTTAGTGTCACCTTTGTGTACTCTTTTCCTATGAATCCTCTCTCCATTATCTTCCTGGGGCTCATCCTTGACCTTAATAAGCTTTATATATGTAGTCAGCATTGAAGGCTATATAAAAAAATTACGCACCCCATTTGTTCTCCTTCTAGTACCTGTGCTCTTAACTGACACATCTTCATCTCCATCATTGGCACCCTCATCACCACTATGCTCATTGGCCCCATCTTAGTCACTAGAATCTAAGATATGATGAGTGTATGATGGACATATTTTAAATAGAAAAATCAAGACATACCAGGACTAGGCATAGATTCTTCCTCTTTAGGAGGAACAACTGAAGGTAAAATGTCTGCAGGATCAGCATCATCTATATGATCCATGTCACTGTCATCTGGAACCACTGGATGTGAATGTGACACTATTGCAACAGTTAGCTGTGTCAAATATGTTGAAGCAAAGACCTGCCTCTTTTGCGCTTTTTATCAGTGCTAGTGCTCATATACTCCTGTTCCAAGTCACTCTCTTCATCTAACATAGCATCCACTTTCTTCTGAACATCTAATATGTGATATTTTGTTAGCAGATTTCCTAACTCATTAAGCTTCAGCATCACATACTTTCTTTATGATTGACCTCGGCTGCTTTCTTCTTCTTCTGTGCTTGAAACTTGAGGAATTCTTCATATTGGTCATCTGAAACCTGCACTTTGGACCCAGTTGGTTTCCTTTGCGCCCTGATCTTGGCTATAGGGGGTGCCGGTGTAAGTGCCCTTGTCACCTTTCCTTTAGCCTGAGGCTTGGTGGCCTTGTGTGTCATTTTATATGGAAGTAAGATTTGAACTGTGATTAATGGTGTGGATGCAAAGGTTGAGAGGTTGGAAGCGAACTAAAGCTGACTTAAATACCATAATCCAAAACTTTATAATTAGGCGGTAACAAACATATCTACATTTTGCACTGGTGTCATACAAAAGAATGCATGGTCTGATTATCTACCCAACCATTTTGATTTTTAAGCCATGCTGAAAACTCCCTGTCTGTCTGAAAGACAGGAGACACCCTTGCACCGTTATAGTCAAGGTTAAAATGAGTGACCTCACTTGACCTAAAGAGCACAACATCACCAGAACGCAACTCCAGGACAAGCCCATTCTCTAGCAGGCACAAAGCACCTCCTTGAAAGTGTCCGATAGGTATGACAAGACATAAATGGCGATCCTGTCCATCACGATGGGCCTTTGTCCTTACATTGATGTTGGTGACCAAAGATATAAATGGTGCAAAAGGTGGAGAGTGATTGCCAGGCAACATAGACACAACCTCCATCAGCATCTCAAACTCTTCTTGCAGAAAAGTCTCCATCTGCACAAATGTTAACATAAACCTGTGAGCATGAACAATTCTTTACAATTACATACCAATTTTCTTACCCACTCAAAGAGCTCCGCATATACATGGGAGATTGTAGAGTAGATGTGTTGGTGTTTACGCAGATCTTTTGATATATACGGAATCACCTGCTGGTAGTTAGTACGCATGCCTTCTTTCTCTAGAAGCCACGGTTGAACCTCCTTTGGGGCCTCATTACCCTGGCGCATCAATAATATTGAGTGATGTCAGATCGTAGAAATAAAAGAGCTTACCAAGGTACAATGCCTATTATACCAAGACAAGTGCATCACCTGAAAGTGTTTACACCCAGGTGATGCACTGTCTACCTCTTCCAGCAACTCAGGCCTTTCCAGCACAGACAAGAGATTTACCTCGAGCACAGAACAGATGTGGTTCAGTAGTGCCATTGACACAAATGCCATCAGCAAACCGTCTTTGCAACACAGCTCCAAGTGATGACTGAAAAGTGTTAGCTTCATCTCAATGATAAAAAAAAGGCAAGGGGCGCGCTAAGCACTTCAGTATAATCCCCAATAGGGATTCTTAAGTATGTGTCCTGCGATCTCTTAACACCCTTTGGATACAATTTCGCAAGCTACATAAGCGGGATCATGAGCTAAATTGAATTAATACTAGCTGCAACATACACATACCTTCGCCCACAAACTGTCAATACTTCTTACCCTCTCACCCCGCTCAGCTTGCAATCTTTCATTAGCACTCCAGGTATCATTGTCTGCCTTGTTTCTTGGTGTCTTGAAGCTCTTGTTCTCTGATGCAAGCAGATTGTATGCGGTCTTGATGATGATATGCTCCATCTCATCCTCGTCAACGTCAGAAAGTGGTGGGCTATAAGGGTGACTTGAACCGTAGAATATGTCGTAATTCAAGCTCTGTACTGGAACTCTGTTAGATTTGTCTGGTACAGGAACAACGCATGGCCTCCAAACATGTGCGTTTCTTGAGAGAGGTACAAACGCGCTGAGCAACAGCAATGTCCATCAATATGTAGCATATCCCTGTATGAGATACTCACTTTTGTATGATGGCATAAAAGAACCGATCAGATGCTGAAAGGTCTGTACAGTCGACTGATTTCAACACAACAAATCTTTCAATCAGCGCAAGAGGAAACATCGAGGCCATGCTAAGAGGGTACATGAGATGCATGCGTGCGATAGTCGGAACAATGTATCCTGTAATGAGATCTCTTTGGAGAGAATCTATGTTTCGGAGAATATGTCACTTTTGCATCTCAAAAAATAAATCAGAACAACTTACCTTTAGGAGGTGATCACAGGAAGTTAGCTATATTCAAGTGCGCAGTGCCTACCATAGAAGCGATAGAGACCCTGAGCCCTAAGCCCACAATGAGCACAAGTATGTGAATGGAACTGCCACTGGCGAGTGCAATAAATTTGCTGCCAATAGTGTGCCAATCTGCAAAGGTTCGATAAGAGATTTTTCCTGCAGAACCGTAACACTTGATTTCCTGGTCATATATTGCTTTCAAGCGTAGACCAGTCTTGAGGCATATGCTACAAAAGAACATGTCTTAAATATGTGAGAGCAGAATGAGGATAGAATACGCACCTTTGGCACTTGCAGACGAGCATCATATAGTTCATCATGACAAGGAAGTTGGCACGAACATCCTTACTTATGATTCCTCGACATTGAACTACAACCGAAATCAGCAACTCATCCTCCACACATGGAATCTGTATATGATTTGTGATATCCTGCAGCCAGCTTGGAATATTGTCAGAAACCTCTTCCTGGGTCCGCTGAAGAATGCAAACCGGATATCATACTCCTGCCCAACGACCCTCTTGTTCAGGACTGGCATCGTGTCTTCATGCTTGTTAAGATGAAGCAGCACAGTGTTGATGTTGATAGACAAGAGTGGTTTGATGAGATCGCAAAACAGGCGACACGATCTGGGATTGTCAGGATGCACACAACTTTGTCATTGTCTTGATGTTCGTGGGTGAAGCATTTACTTTTGCATTTTTCAATCATGGAGGAGCGGTGTGCCTTGACATGCTAAGCATTGTGGATGATAAAGAGGAATACCTTCGGCTTTTTCTATACTTATCCCTGGCCAATCCTGGTTTGTCATTCCATCACGCTCATATAGTCATTAGCTCACAATGTTATGCAATAGGTATGGTGGGCCTCGAGACATCTATCATGCAGAACAAAGCCAGGTGATTTATATGATCGAGGGTCTTTGGTCCCAAGGTGCCAATCAATATGGTACTCTTCATCAGCAATAACATTCATGGATGCAGCACCGTGGCTTGTCACGTCACACTGTCACATGAGCACATTGCACAGGCATTGCAGTTGGGTGGGTTTTGGGGTGCCATGGAGAAATGGCTTAAGGGAATGGAGAAGGAGGTGGATGTGGTGGTTAAAGATACCTGGGTTGATCTTACTGCACCTCACACAGAGGGCATGATTCTCAATTACCTTCAACTCAAAGGCATCCAGGGTGTTACGTGTTTACTCTTTGAGGGACTTGTTGCTGGCCCTGCCTCACCACCTCCACTCTTCCAAATTCATGATCGTCCTGGCATCGGTTCCTTGAAGGATATCAGCACAATATCCCAGACTGGTGACATCAACGTGTGGAGTAGCACTGTTTACAACCGCTCTTTTTGGGGTGTTCCAACACCAGCCTTGGCACACAAGAGCATGGCTAGGAGCGTCAACAAATATGACCGCCACCATCCTGTGCCTGAAGGCGTCACGGTACAAAAGCTGGAACCTGTGACACGCGAAGTTTACCAGGAGCAGATGCTCACCCGATCTTGGTTGCATCCATTTTGCGCACCCATATATGAGTTCAGCTGTGTCTATGAGGCATTAGTTGCTATTTCGGATTGCATTCGATGTAAGAATTAATTTGTGTTACGTATGAGTTTTTTTACTGATTACAATTGCAGCCCATGGCCAGGCGTTTTTTCCCTACCTCATCTCAGAGGGAGGCAATGAGACCGATGAATTATTTCCCATCTCCTTTATGCAAGCTGACACTTCCATGTGGAATATGGGACTTGTTCATCCAGCGATGTCAGACTGGGGTTGCATTAATCATATAGGACTTGATCCAAGCAATATCCAATGTGGCCTGCTGTATGGTCATGTGTTTGCCTCCTGGAATACGCGAAGCACGTCTATGAGAGGAAGCCCCCCATCAAAGATCTTTGACAAGCATGCTGGCACCACTTCAACTTCAATGCTGTCCTCCCAACATGAAGCCCTTAACTTGGATGATTCTCTTGTTCACCATCCTCATCATTCTCCTGCTCATGTTCCTGTCTATAATACTTCTGCCTCTAGTACTTCTACTAACACTTCTGCCGCTCGTACCTCCAATCCTTCACCTTCTTGTGCGCCAGTTGCACCCACAAACGTCTCCCCTGTCCTACATTTGGACACACCTTCAACGTCAATAATCCCTTCCGCACCTTCAACTTCTGCAATCCCTTCTCAACCAGCGTCAACTGCACCTTCACGTGGAAGACATGTGACGAGTAAAGGTAAAGGCAAGCAAGGAGGACAAAAGGGTACAGATGGGAGAAAAAGTACCCCTGGTGCTGTCAATGCCCCTCCCAATTCCTCTGCTGCTACATGCAAGCACGGTTTTGATAGCGTTTTTCAAGGCAAACCGCCTGATGGTCCATCCAAACGACAGGCTCCCCTTTATCATATACTGAAGGTGAACATCAAGCCCAAGCATGTTGTCCAAAGTCTTCAAGTCGACATTGCTGGCTACGGCTCTTTGAATATCGACAATGATCTGGAACAATTTAAGGAAAAGGGTGGCATTTACAAGCTGACAGTAAGTATTAATCATTGTTTTTGCCCTCCTGCTCATCACATCATATGTACAGGGCACTCGAGCTTGGATGGCCATCCAGATGATGTTCGCACAATAACCAGGCCAAGATACCATTCAACGTGAAATCACACATGATCTGGAAGGTTACTATTACGTGATCCTCACCATCGCATTCATGTTTGATGCACCATACGCATTGAAGAAAGTTCCACACCCCAATACAGCCAGCGGAGGGGAGATGTGGGTCCATTGTTGGCTTGAGAACACCATAGAGAAGGAGATCTGGCATGAAGCCATAGAAAAACAACACTATCTGGCTACTGATGCAGGGTTCGCTATGGTGGACGGAGTTTTGGGTAATGACTGTGCAAATGAGCCTGTCCAGATGATGTTGAAGGAGATGAGGACAATCCTATTTGTTGAAAGCCGACCAAGCCACTCCTGCATGCTCGAAGTCATCAACACTGCACTCTTCAAGATCCGTACTGATTGTACACTAACCCATCTCTGCCAGCCTCAACAGATGACAAATGAGTGGGCCAGGGCAGTTGGTGGTGGCGGATTTGTCAAACACTCACAGATGCTCCCTGCCTTGCAGATGAATTTGTTGTATCACAAGGATTGTCAAGATGCCGAACTCAATCTCTTTGCTTGCATGCCCTGTCCCCCAGTGCAAGAACACAAGCTCACACCCGGTAACTCATCACAGTACCTGAAAGGTACCGGTGGAAAGACAGCAGATCACATTAATGTAATGGCCGCTCCTGTGGTGCTGAAGGAACTTCGGAAGGAATGGGCACCTTAGGTCTATGATTTGCTTGAAGCATGCATGGTCAGATCACACTTTATTTTTATGATTTCGAAGGACAACACATCATACATGTTGTACAGTTAGCCTTTGTATAAGCTTTTATCATATGTAACATTCAATACATATTGTATTTTTAGCGCAACATTTTTCATTGCAATAGACGCTCCTCCTAAACTCTTTCTGCATCACCTTGGTTTACTAGTTCATCAAATGGTTAACAGGCGGGTTCTTGCTGAGGCTTCAACATCTTATAAATGCCCTGCTCCAGGCTCCATTCACACATTCGGTACTAAACAAGGATTGAATTCTCATCTACGCAATGCTGCAAGCTGTAAATGGTATAAGTTAGGAAAGGGAAGAGAGCTGGATAGCATGGATGATGAAGGTACAAGTAGATGTGAGATGGAGGGACTACCAGATGGGATAGTGGATGAGGTGGATAATGATTTATTTCAGTTGATACCTCTGGGGCCAGATAGTGAGTTGCAGTATCAATTTCTTGTTATGTTCTTACATTATTTCTAGTTCACAAAATACACAACAAAGATAACCAGAACATGATGGACATAGACCAGGAGCAGGGAGAGCTCATAGCGGGTCCGTCTAGGCACAGAACCGCTTTAGCAGAGGAAGATGCACGTGTCACAGAGACTCATTCTACTGCTGGGAGGGTCATACAAATAGAGGAGACAGTGTATGCTAAATGGCGGACACAATTTGGATTAGGTGATGGAGAAGAGGTGGAATCAGGTCGTTCTGATGATGAAGATGAAGATGGTAATTTATTCTACCCCTTTACATCACGGCTGGACTGGCAGGTAGCATGTTGGGCTGTGCAAGAGGGAATAGGGCACAAAGCATTTGACAGGTTATTAGCTATACCAGGCATATGTCAACTTACATATATTCTATCAATATCATGGCTGATTTTTTGCAAATAGGTTAGAGAGCATTTAGGACTTGCGTATCACAATATAAGAGAACTCCATCAAACCATAGACAGCATCCCTCCTCGAGCTAAATGGCAATCAACTTACTTGGCCTTCAATGATACGCCTCACTATAAGCATGAACTACACTATTGTGATCCTTTAGAAGCCATTCAAATGTTGCTGGGCAATCCTGCTCATGCTCAAGATATTGTCTATAAGCCTTCAAAGATATTTACGGACTCTTCTCATTCTACCCACATATTTAATAAAATATGGACAGGGCATTGGTGGCATGCAGTCCAGGTGAGTGTCTTAATATTGACTACACTGCTATAACAACTAAGTATGTTTTTATAGGACAGACTTCCTCAGGGTGCATCTGTAGCTCCTGTAATTATTGCCACAGACAAAACTCAGCTGACCAGGTTTTCTGCATCCAAATCATATACCAAGTATGGTACTTGTCCCAAGTGTAGGGCTAGAGTGGATGAATTGGCTGAAATACAACATTTTGCCAGACGTACTCAACCTTAGACCTCATCAGTAATTGACCATGCCAACATCTCCACAAAGACCGACTCTGCCTTTTGCAAATAGTGCATGTCTCAGAATGTAGCTGGAGGCATATTTGAACTATTTTGGCTGGATTTCTCTCATTGTGGTATTCACTTGGCTATCACATCTGACGTACTTCATCAACTTTATCAAGGGATATTCAAGCATATGGTTGAGTGGTGTCAGAAGCTTATGGATGAAGAAGAACTGGATCACAGACTTAAAACTCTCCCTCCTTCTTATGGTGTCCATCACTTCCATAAGGGCTGGTCTGCTTTGGGTCAAGTCGGTGGAAAAGAGAGGAAAAATATGGCTAGAGTGCTATTGGCTTGCTTGATTGGCAAGATTCCAAGAGGCGTCATTCTGGCATACTGTGCCCTCCTTGATTTCATCTATCTTGCCCAATATCCCACTCATGATGACGACACTCTGGAATATATGCAACAAGCCTTACAAGATTTTCACCTTCACAAGGAAGTCATCATTAATCTGGGTATCCGAGACCATCTCAATATTCCTAAATTCCATTCCTTGCAATACTACCTGGAGAATATACAAAACTTCAGAACTACAGACAACTATAACACCAAGATGTTTGAGAGGTTTCATATTGACTTTTGTAAAGAGGGGTGGTACACTTCCAATGGAAGAAATGAAAGGCCTCAAATGATCTCTTGGCTAACTAGAAGAGAGAAAGTAGCGTTGTTTCAAAGCTATCTCAAGATGTCTATGGAGGACGAAGAAGACAAGTTTTCCCACTCAAGGTTTAGAGATCATAGAGTCATCCTCACCAAATGTCCTCATCGCCTTCACCAAAATATCTTGGACGTCATGCAGAATCATGCTTGCAAAGGCTTCAAGAAAGATCTCATCACCTATCTCAACTCTCAGTTGGCTCACTCTCATTCATGCGGACAGCTCAGAAACATGGATCTTCCTTTCAGTCATATTGATATCTATTATGGATTCAAATTCTGTCTAGAGTCATTAGGCAATGACATTGACTTTGATCAATTGGAGGAGGCAGATATTGTCAAAGCTCAACCACCTATTTCTCATAAAGCTGGATGCTTTGATATAGTTGTAGTCATGGATGATCCTGACTGTGAAAGCACTGGTTTAACAGGTGAGTAATATTGTGATATATCTATTTAAAAATTGTATGAAAATTTCAAAACTATAGGAACACATATTGGAAGGTTGAAGATTATATTTCGTCTGCCACAACAAGTATATGGTCTATTCAACCTGCATGGACTAAAGACCCTTTGGCATATGTTGAGTGCTATACTCCATTAAAACCTGCAGCAGAAGACTATCATGAGATGTATACTGTCAAGAAACCTTTACTTTCTTCAGATGGTTCATTGCCAGGTAAAGTTACTCCACTGTCTTCTATTAGACAGACATGTCAGCTTGTTCCAAACTTTGGAACAACAACCATCCCTATAGATTGGACTTCAGATAATGTATTAGATAAATGTGATACCTTCTTACTTAATTGTTTTACCTCCAAGTATGCTTACCAAACTTTATGGTAATATATAGACCTTCATGACTTCTATATTGGTCTCTATGGCTATCATAGCTGGCCATAGACTGTGTAGAGCTATGATCTGCTATCACAACTATATAGAGGATGATTATCTATATAGAGAAACAGTTTTTCCTGATGAGGCGGCACTTATGAACTTCGGTACATCTTTCCATAGGGCCTAAAAGGATGCGACAAGGGATAGACGCAGCATAGCCTGTCAACATGCATACACAGTCAGCCCTTCTTGTTCAGCTGCCGACTCTGAGGCTCAAGAGCTACACCTTCCACCTCACTACTCTGCCTGCCACTTCAAGAAGACTATAACTCTCCACATCTCCTCAAGGAGAAGTTCAACTTCTTCTGACCAACAGTTTGCGTGTGCGTGCGCTTTGCACCACTCTACTCGAATGCCTATGAGATGTCATCAGTATACCATATCAAACTAGAGTTAGTAGACCCACAATCCTGGACGCGCTCATTTTCTGAGCTGCTATTGTCCACATGTGAGTCTAGCCAGATCCAAGAGATCGTACCAGTCCCTTGTCTCTCCATATCGCCCATAGGCCTTACATCTGAATCCAAGAGTGGTGGAAGGGAAATGTCCCAGCCCGACTTATTGAGTCGATAGCTGAGAGCTAACAGAGCGTTACGCGCACATCGATACTTGTCAACACTAGCCCATTTTCTCATCTCCACGCCTTCAATAAGGGCCTGTGCATGGGTAGAAGCCGCCTGACTGCGTACATTTCTATCTTTATAGATATACATATGAGACCGAAGCCGGAGATGTGGACAGACCTCGTTGAGAGCATCCAGTGCCTGTGCATGTTGTATGTTGGAAATTTCTGAGTTTCATTTTAATGCCTTGTAATGCATTCTAATGCCGCAATGACAACCCACTTGTGGCAATGGGAAAGTAATGTAAGCCCCGTTTTGAAATGCCGACAGGTGCCAATGGCAATGTGGCGCCAATGACCATGCCAATGCCCATTGTAACATTAAATTTTGTATTATTACAATGGCATTAAAATAAACTTACAATCCGTGGGAATTCCATTTATGTACCCTGGCTGGCCATCGTCATGATCCTATCATGATCTCGCCATCTATTATTATCTATTGCTTATTTTTATCTACTGTCTACGATTTATCTACTGTCTATGTTATCTACTATCTACGATTTACCAACTATCTATGTATTTACTATTATCTAATTATCTTACTAATACACTTGTTTATTACTTGCACTTAGGTTGATTCGAACTAGGGACTTAGACTATATACTCTATAGTAACATTAGATACGGTCCGTAATCAAAACCATTAGACTACGAGGGCTTTATTATATGGGAACCCCAACTCTATTAGAGGACCACTCTACAGCTTTCATATCAATACTTCGAAGACACGACGCAGTCCTCAAAGGAGTCATGATGTGCTCCCCAGTAATTCCCTGTTTATCCAGCTCAATCTCAGAACACGTATCCACGCAAGCCTCCAAATTTACCTTCAGCTTCAAATTAACCAAAGTAAACTCCTTCAATGCTGTGGTCAAGTCTTTCTAGATAATCCACTCAAGCGTGTCTCATCTGGTCTTATATTATACATATGTAGTCAAGCCTAAGTAGTGGTGCGAGCATTGCGGGTAGTACGGGTACTAGTGTTAGATACAACACATCTGGCTGCTCTGCCTCCTCGACGGCCTCTCACAGCTGCAGGTGCTGTAACAATGTTACTAACTTCATCCTCGTCATTGGGCTCAGATGTAAGAGGACTACTAGGTCTTGGTCTCTCCCTGTTAGCCTCGGCATCAGCAACCGTCTCATCCATAATGTCCTCTGTAAGTGGTTCAGGCTGCGCAGTGCGCACCTCACCTTCAGTCACACCCGCTAAGGCACGATCCATAGCTGCGGTGAAATCCTCTTCATCTGACATTGAGTTAGTTGTTCTCGAACCTCTGGAGAAGACATAATTATTCAGCTTCTTCACAATGTCGCGTGTGTACTCCGTGTTCCAGTTCTTGACAAGAATCTTCTTATATGAGGTGAACATATAGCTGTACTGGATCTTCGTCATCTCGCCCTTGCTGGAATAGCGAAATTCCTTGTCGGCACTCAGTAGAAAAACAACCTGACAAAAACACATCAGGCGAGACTCTTCCGACACACAAAAACTCACAACTACGCCCACCCACGCCAACAAACCGGGTGTTAAAGATGTCACCTCCCACCTATTACCATTTCGCGGAGGTCCTCCTGCTCGTAACGCAGTCAAGCCGTTCTCACCCCACAGCAGAATCCGGATAGCCTGAAAACACGACGGGTAAGACATATTATATGATAAATATAAGTATTAAATTAAGAGACACAATCACACACCTTGCCGAAGGGTTCCCAATTTCCAAAGACCATTTTCAGCGAGGGATCTTCGATGAGATTCGGGAAAAGGATGGGTGGGAAAGGCTTGGGCATACGCTGGGATGTAGAGGTACCGAGGAGACCCTGGATCTCAGGTACACTTGCTCGGTCATACGCTATATCAGCGAAATACTGTTCAGAGAGACCAAAGATAAGCCCAGCTTTGGAGCACAGTTTCTTGATTTTGGATGCACGGCTACTGTTCATTGCATCCTCAAACTAAAGTACTATCAGCAATAATCAATGAAATAAAGACATTACTTACAACATCCGCGAAGTGATTATCCGCAACCAGAGGGTGGATGTGCGATGGGAGTAAACTGAATAGCTCTGCGAGCAAGGCTGACTCCGCTGAGGCCTGCGTTTCATAGCGTGATGATTCGTTGAGAGGTGGAGCGAATGCAGGATTGGGACACTGAAGAAGTTGCCTGTCTGGTGCAAACATTTCGTAGCAGGCACCATATTTGCGACCACATAAGCGGATTTCTTCATCGAAGGCCATGTGCTCCTCGGAGGCATTCTGACCCTTCTTCTTCCGCTTCGGCTGGTTTGCCTTGAGGATCTTGTTCTCCTCCGTCAACTCCTTATTGACGTCCTTGAGTTCTTGCAACTCGAGCTGTGTTTCTCGCAATGCCTGAAATAAAAGTTTGAAGATTCAGACATAAGCAACAGTGACGGAGCCTACGCATACCTGTTCGAGATCAGCGAGGGATATGGTGCTCGATGGTGGCATTGTGATTGCAGAAATGACCAGAGCAGTTTGATGAAAGGAAAGGCAACGAAAAAAGTCGTTCGAGGCGCCTGATATAAGGGATTAGGCGATGCCTCATGTTGGTGACAAGGTAATTAGGCCCTGAATAGACTAAGTCAATCCAATGATAACAGGTAAAATCATGCGTGGTTCACTTACATGGCACAACCGAGAGTGTAATCATTACCTTATGTTGACACCAATGAACACATGGGCTTCCTCGCGGCGAGTGTGAGCAGCCAGCGGCTGCGATATCCTATCCAGAAAGTATCTCAGCATGTTTTGTGATGGTAGCCAAGAAGGTGAGCATTGTTACAAGAACATCTAGACGCTTGGGCCCCTACTATTTTTCTCCTGATCCTCCTCGTATCAGCCCTCGCATCATACCCTTACCCCGACCTTACCCTTGTCATCCTCGTCATCCTCGCATTCCCTTTCGCCCTCTACCTGTCGCTTCAGCAAAGCCAGTACATTTGGCCGGATCCTTTCGCTGACGAAGCATACCCATGCTCCGTTTCACCACCTGACTGATCCTGCGGACAGTCCCCTTGCCCTTACCGTCCGGACGGTAACCTATGATATGATGCACAACGCATCCCCTTTGCCCTGTTCCCTTTTATGATCTCTGACTCGGTGCGCAGTCGCACATGCGACTTATACTTAGATCCGCAGTTGCACGATCGTGCCCCTGCGCGTTTCACTTCTTATTTCGATCTTTGACTCACTTTCTTATCTAGCACGTTCTACCCAGACCAAACGTGCCTTCCTATTATGGTCTTACCCTTTACCGATTGCCTCTCCCGGTAGTACGAGTTATCACCCACTAATACGTTTCCTATCCTCTATATAAACTCGCTACCATGTACCATATTCCCTAACTTGAATCTACTTGGTTCTTGACCTCCTACTCTCACCAGAGTGATCCTTCTGCCTCGCCAGCAGTCTATATTCTATCTTCTTATCTGCTCCTCGCGGATAAGCCTATAGTCTCGACCTTTACTCATCGACTTCGTCGACAAGCAAAAGCCCCTGTTAACTAGTCGGACTTCTGTCCTTCTAATTAACGACGATCCTTACGATTAACCTTCGGGTGTCGTAAGCCTAGGCCGATATAGCTTATTGTCTCGCACCCGCGTGACATAAGCTACCCGATTTGGACATAGGCGTCAAATCGTACTTGCCGAAGACACGCCAAGTACGACCCCTAACCTTGGGCAAGCCCAAGGACGTCCACAGACCGTTGACGACACAAGCTCTGTTTGAGCGTCGCCAACAGATACCATCCAAGTCGTAACAAGCATGGCCGAGAAGGAAGGATTGAGAGTCGAACAAGCAAAAGGTGAGCATGACCGAGATGGTAGCCAAGAAGGTGAGTATGACCGAGGTGGAAGGATTGAGAGTCAAACGAGCAAAAGGTGAGTGTGATGGGTGAGCGAAAGGCGAGCATGATGGGGGGATACAAGAATTGAGAGTCGAGCGAGCAGAGAGTGAGCATGATGGAGATATAAGACAAGACAATGCCAGTTCTTCATTCCACATGACCGGCAGACTTGTGCATCACCTTCATGCGCAAGAACATGTCAGTGTCAATTGTGTCAATAACCAGGTAATCACCCTGGATGCTATGATCTTCTGCAAGTGCTGCGCCACGGATGATTGAGTGAACTGAAAAAAATTCGGATGAGATCCTCGGTCTTTGATGAACACGCCAGAACTGAAAGTGTTTATCTTTGAGAGAGTGTTGTCCAACCAGAGCATCATATGGATGAACAAGAGCAACTGGATGAGTTTGACCATCCACGACACAAGTGAAAAGCATCAGTAAACGCCCAAATATCACTCTGGCTTGAGTTTGAAGGATGATGCAGTCATATCGAGGGAAGTTGTGAAATGAGGGACTACATCGAAGATAGTCTGTAGCAGTGCGCCAGTCCACAATGGACTCATAGTTGACCTTTACGAAGCGATGCTCGGTTACCTGCATTCTATGTGTTAGTCATGAATCAGAAAATAACAAAACAACATACAGTTTCGTCAGGCATGAACTTGATTCGTTTTCCGCCAGGTAGCGGTATTCCGTGAGCAGGGAGGGAATCACTCAGAAAGTTTGCAAGCTTGATGCGAAACCGATTGAATGCATTATCGCTTGCATGCTCTTGCTCCAAGGCCGCAAATGTTTGCTCGTTTTGCGCTGCACCCAACTTAACATGAAGTGTGACGTCCAAGTCATTGTCGAGGTCTTCATCATTGTCCGCACCGCTCAAGTACAAAGGGTCCTTTTGAGATGCAATGAGGTCATCATAATCCTCGATATCCAAACGAATTGAATGCGCAATGAGGAAGCGATGGTTGAGGCGAAGAACCTGTGTAAGATCAATGCAATTCTGTCCCGCTTCACGAATAAATGAGAGTACACACCTGTTCAGCAATATTTTTGAAGTTCGTCCGCCGAAGATAAATCCGTCTGATTGGGCCATGACACTTCTCATTTTGCTTGGTGTTAGTATTCCGCGTAGCACCCTTTGCTTCAATATCATCGAACAGGTGGGCATATGCATGCCGTTTCGGGTATGCCCAATTCTTTCCTGAGTCATCTTTTGTGCTATATCGCTTATAATTTGGATTGTCAGTAAAACTTGAACACAACTCAAACAAGAAACTGACCTCCAATAGTTGTGTGAACTCCGTTATGGCCAGACAGCCCGCAGCAATGGTTTCTGATGTGTGCACTTCAAGAGCAGCATACATGTCGATGTTCACATATTCACGGATGCATCGAAGGAGCAGATAAGGGAGTGTGTGAGTGCCTCGGTCAATGACGTCATGTGCGGCAAATACAATAAGCTACAGAACCATCAGAATCAGTACAAGTGAGAGACAATGAAACACCTTACCTTAGAGATATCTTCATACTTCGAGCCGTCAGAAAATGATATGTCCATGACATGCTTAAAATGATTGATGTTGCGCCAACGAGGCATTGAGTCAAAGCTATTCCAGTTGTTAAGTCAGTAGCTGCTGTACCCGAAGTTGAAAAATGTACTGTACATCGATTTCAGACTGTATCTGCCGACCAACTGATTTGATGTGTTCCTGAAACTGAGTCCACAAATGGTCAGAAAAATTACCTTCATTATTTACATGTAAGCGGTCAAATGAGACTGCAGAATGGACGTCTGTGTGAGCAACATCTGAAAATGCATTCTAAAAGGAATCAATTAGAGTTGAGAATGAGAATACAGCGAAAGGAACTTACGTCTACGTCTCGGAGGCCTTGAGACATTAATAACTTTTCTTTGTCTTCTTGTTGACTGAAACTTCGAGCCTCTGTGATTGTCGCTTGAACAGACGCGCTTGTTCGCAGTGGGTACGATGTCAGTACATTCCCAAGCTCTTCTCTAGGAACGAGACAAACGGGACAAGGACATTTGCACTTGGTTCCACGTATCAATGCCATAACACATCTGTAGAATAACCATTAGAAAACTATAATGACAAGGCAATACACCTACTGCTCCTCGTAGTCAGCTGATAAAATGAGAATAAGCGGGTAAAAGAGACGCTTGATGTTATCCCAACACATGACCCAACAACCGGTTTTCGAGAGCAGCGCAATTGATTTGAGAAGACGCTTGAATGATTTGTGCCAGACGACATTCTTGAAATTGACAAAGGACTGAGTCCCGGAATACTTTCTGTCTTCTTCGACCTACAAAAAGTCATAAGCATAGAAGCCAACAGCAAATCGAATAATTTCTCATACAATCGGAAGCCAGCCTACAAGGCGACCGCCACCGAAACCTTCACCATTGCGTATTCCCACAGGTAAATTCGCACATCGTGCAATGATGGGATATGCCTTTTGACGACCAAACGAGGAGAGCTTTGCCTTATCAGCATATATAATGAAAGCAAAGGGCTTTCCTTCATCCTTCGGCAAGGATGACTATGAAACATGCATTTACATTGTTAGAACATTCAAATTTAGTAGCACATACATACTTGACAATCCCAAAAGGCATTAGCTGTCCATGGCTCGTCAAAGAAACGTACAAAGTTTTGTCCGTCAAATTTGTACAACCGTTGAGCATTGAACACAAAATGCGGACCAAGGCGAGGGTCTTTCAACAAGTCACATGCCCAATCCCAGAGCGGCCTATACCAGACATCAAAGTTGTGCTCCTGGTCCCTATGTGGGACCGAAATCACTTCCTTTTTGAACTGTACTTGGAAAACTGATTGTCAATGAGGTATAGTAATAAGTCAGTACTCAGAAGAGGCTCACTTTTGCATGGCGTGAAGATGCAGCATCCCACAGCTTACAGATGCCGTCATAGTCGGTGACTGAGAATCTTTCAAGCGCAGCACGACGGATGAGACCGATGAGTTCGTTCGTCTGCAGTTTCGTGAGGTTGGCTTTCAGAATCAGTTCAGCAAAGTCGAAGTCAATACGTGAGGAAAACGGTTCCCAGGGAGTGGTATTTTCAGGTGCGAGCGAGGGAGCAGCAGTGTTGCAGCGAAAATCGGCAAAGTGATCAGTCTTTGTAGGGATGCCACTACGTGGATGATACTGTCCTGATATCATCCTGCTGTATTGCAGGTGGAAGGACATGATCATTTGATAGACCTATATAATGTTATGATGACCGACTGGTTTATTGACAGTAAAGAATTGACATACCTCCAAGTTCATCGAGATGTGCATACTCCGAGTCGTCAAATGTAGGTTCACAAGCAGCAGGAGCCGCATGAAAGCCTACAAATTGTTAAATAAAACACAAATCTATGAAAAAATGAATCAGACCTTGGGACGCGCCTGGTCGTTGTGATTGATGCAGGATTGGACGAGATTGAGCCAGGTTCAACAGCTCAGTGTGTGCTTGAGCAGCTGTCAAGAGGAATTATACTCAGTGTTTTTGGAACAAAATATAGAAAACTCACCTGCTCGAGCATTCTGTCTCTCAAGATCTTCCTGCATCCGTGTAGCGTCCCTCCTGCAGGCTTTTTGATGGGCAGCAAGTCCGCGACTTTTGAATTTCTAGGCGGCATGTTTCACAGATCGAGGTCCGTTCAGGGTGGCATGAAGGTGTATAAAACTCAAAAGTAAGTGTGAATACAAGAATATGAAGGGAATATGGACATCAACGTTATCGATGGAGACGTGCTGGAGTCGCATTCCAATGCATTCAAACGGCGCGCACAATCGTGGGAATAACATGTCAACATCAACAAGATAATTGTCACAATTATCAGTTATTCTTATCGATTAGAACACCACGTGATATCATAGAAGTGACATCTCAATGACAATTGCAATGTCACATCATTGCAATGCTTCTAGGAAATTTCCGACATAGGTCCCATTTGTGTGCAGCCAGCTTCTTGTCACATGATACTGTTGGTTGGAGCTCAGATAGGAACCACAGCTTAAAGCTCTCAGGCTTGAGCAGCATCGTATTCGTCACACCAGCTTCTGAAGATTGTTGATGAAACTGAGACATGATGGGCATATATAACTCCTGGACATGAGCCCAAGCATCCAGCCGACGTTGAAGGGCAGTAACACGGGTCTGCATAGTGGTCTTCTGCTTGTCTGTGGGGTGAAGAGACACATTGGCCATATCAGTCTTCAAGTGCTGTCTTGTTGGATTCTTTGTTACTGCAGTGAACTTGCTTTGTTAGACAGAAAGACTCACTGTTGGTCTTGCAAATGTATCATTCACTTTTCGCATCCTCCTCCACTCAATATACAGCCTCGTTAAGATGACTCAAAGCCCATCTCCCTCCAGTCAGACGGACACTATGGTGTCCATTCGACTGGATGGCCTCATCGGCATCCTGCAGAGTCTTTGTCTCGATGACAGGACAGCAATATCAGCTGCGTTGCAGGCCGGCACCAGTCCAAATGTTACCGAAGGTGGATCCACCTGGTTTCTTTGATTTATTATTACTAATTTTGTTTTAACAATGTCGCAGGGCCTGTTGCCAGTCTTACAGGTCCTTTGGACAGTGAAGATTCCACATCTGCTCCAGATGATTTCCCTGCCATTGTTTCAGCTCATTCCCCAATTTCTACTGCTGTGGCTCCTGCCCCCGCCCCAGCCATAGGACATGTGCATGAGCCTGTCATCATCCTCATGCTTAATGATGGGGAAGACTCATCTGACAATGAGGATGCTGCTAATGCAGCTATGTCCCTCACTGATAATTCCACCCTTCAGTATCACAACGGCACATACTTCAATGTGCCCATTGATGGGGTCTTCTCAGGATGGTAAGTCTAGATGTACTTCATTCATTTCATTCACTAATTCATTTTGGACAGGGATGCTACTGGCCCCAAGGTGCTTGGGGTTTCACGTGCCATATATCACAAGGCAGAATCTCTTGAGTTTGGTATTGGGATTATGAAGCGCGCCATAGAATGTGGTGAGGTGGCACAGGTAGTCTAGTCTTAGTAGTCACACTGCGCAATTGTCAATACCAAGCTATTATATTTGTTCGAGCAAGCAGAGGAGCACAGTTAAAATTTGAACAGAACACCTTTGGAAGCACAGCCCGCTCAAAAATAGCTCATGTGCCATAGACTAGCTATCAATAACACTTCATTCTATGTTTTGGTCCTACCGCATCCTACAACATATCATTCTCGCCATTGCAAGCCTGTATCTTAGCTGAATGGTTCTCGGTGAAGGACCATGTCACTTTACAAGTCATCCTGCTTAGCTGTCTTGTTACAATATCTGCACAACTAGTTGCTGTTGATTGATTATCGGTTCAACCTTTGTCAAGGTCGATCTTGTTACTGACTTTACTAGGACTTGGGCATTTGAACACTAGGTAAGTCCAGAATGATATTTCTCGCGAGGCAGCACTACCGTAACACATATCACACTCACACTTATCTTTCCACTAGCATTCTACCTAGCTAGCAGGTCTCTCTCAGTCACAATGTCTAAAGATTGTGTTATGGTCCGACCATCTTCGCACATCCTCGCAGGTGCTTCATTCACCAATTAAAAAGGTTTGGTTCAAACAAATGTAAGTACTCACTGCAATATATATCATACTGATTCATACACATAGGTATCTTTATATCAACATTTCATTGAGGCAGCAGGTCCCTCAATGCACCAGGTGTTATAGTCTGACCATCATGATCAGTGTGTGTGCTTCATTGACAAATTGAAGACTCATTGTTTTGGTCCTGTAAGTACTCGCTGCAATACATATCATACTGATTCATACACATAGGTATCTTTATATCAACATTTCATTGAGGCAGTGGGTCCCTCAATGCACCATGTTTATGGTCTGACCATCATCAGCGCATGTGCTTCATTGGCAAATTGAAGACTCATTGTTTTGGTCCAAACAAATGTGAGTACTTCATTTTAAATGCTGTGTTCTTCCCTCTGACTTTCACTGCTCTTCATTATGGTATGCCCAACTATTCATAAAACTCATCAAGATAGAGTACAAGCTGCAAGAGACAAGCATAGACGACACTATCTAAAGTAAGCAATACACCAACGGTGTCTTTGAGTCGCTTTAATCGAGAATTCTAGGTGTCGAGAGGCAATACTAGCAAAGCGGTGTCAGGTATGCAAAGAAAAAAAACTTTGTCTGGTCAATAATCCTTTGGATGATGAAGATGAACCAATGTTGTGCGGGTTTGACTTACATGTCACAATGTAACTGACCTTAGCAACAGTGAAACCTTACAAGACTGCATTGCCGCGGTGTCCTGCATGATGTGGGAATCATGCATGGACATGAATACTAGGTGACCCTCAAAAGACAAAGTCTGTTAGCTTAGTCCTCAGACTAGTCAACCCATACCTTGGTTTCAAACCATGGTCCATATTTCCAGTTTTCCCCAAGTTTCACGATCTGAATATGTTTTGACGGAAAAAGTCTAATGTGAGATGGGAATCACATTTAGACCTAGTTGATGTGAGAAGAGAAATGAAGGTTAAGGTACCTTGCCTTTGGCTTATTCACTTTGGCTAGAGAAAACTATAGAGAAAAGTACAAAGCCTATAAAAAACCTATCCAAAAAGACCGTGTTTCAATTCCTGCCAACTGCATTATTTTTTTTTGACTGTGTTTCAATTCCTGCCAACTGTCTTATTTTTGCTACCTACTTTTCTCTAGTGTTTCTTTACTTTACTTTTTCATTAGGATACTTTGACTCACCTGACACTTCATAAAATTGTACCCATAGGGTATGATGTCATTATGATGTCATAAGACTCCATAGATACTCCTGCAGGTATTCTGTTGAAAGATATTATGTCATCAAGCTCTAGATTATTCTACTCTACAATGACATCATTGATGTCATTTCCTTCTAGAATATTCTGCTCCACAATGACTCACCCATGGAAGGTTCTGGAATCTTTTGCTCCACAATGATGTCACTCTTGATGTCATTACTCCACATTCCAGAATGTTCTGCTCCACAATGATGTCATAGCTCCATCTTTCACTTGTATTTTATTCTTTTATTGGGTTTGACCCAATATTTTGATTGGTCCTCCTTATTTTTTATTGTTTGTGAACCTAGGTTACTTTCCCACACAAAATGTATATAAGGAGAGCCCATTCTCCCCCCAAAAAATATGATCTCCCATTTGTAGCAATCTGCCTATCAGATATTTCGCTTGCAAAGTTAGTCCCTTTGAAGTGAGACAAGTGCAGGGAAAAGAATTTCCTTGAGATTATAAGTTTCTTACCTTAGAAACTTATTTAGTGCTATAGACCAAGCATTCTTGGTCACATATATTGTCTTTGAGACCCCTTTGTCTCATTGCTCTGTGCCCTTTGACTAAGTGATCTTAGTCATCTCTCATATTGTTGAGACCACGTCTCACTAGTTGTCCCATAGACCAAGTGATCTTGGTCATATTTCATGATTCGTTTATTTGAGACCACATCTCACTAGTTCCAGTATCCAAGTCCAGAGCCTAGAAGGAGATTTCCTAGGCAAATACATCCCAGAAACCGAATTACGTGTCTAGAAGCTTATTCCTAGACAAGAGATTTGAGTTTCAATACAGAAAAGTAAAGCTCTGGTTAGGTTGATCTTGACAAAGATTAGTTTAGCGAGCCTCCCAAGAACTCACACGTTATCTACCACAAAATAGGAAAAGTCGTAGACCATTGTAACGATGGTCGCGGCGCTGGGCTCGAAACCAGGCAATCCAATACCTACGTTCATACCATTCCCCGACCTCCCTTGACCTTCTGAAGGCCGCACACACTTGTCTGAACCTTCCGCAGGCAGTTCTCATGTTCCGAGACCCGTCTGAACCTCACAAGTTACCATACCATGTCCTATCCTCGTCCTTTTGACTTCGCTGGTGCGTTTTCCTTTATTCTAACTATATGTTGACTACGTCTTAGTGCTACACGGATAACAATTCCATTGGCATCCTGTCGGGAGCCTTGGAATACGTATAAGCAGCACGTATTGCAGCTTATTACATGTATACTTGCATTCTTGCACGCCTCGCGGCTTATTACATAGGTTCGGACTTGCTTATCTCGCTACTATTTTTTCCTACGGATTCCGGCCTCTCACGGAAGTAGGATATAATCTCGCTCACTGGCTACTGATAGGGCACTTCACTTCCCATACTTCGAGTAGTAATTAGTAGAGTCACCTCGGTAGAATTGTAAACTGCGCAATTGATCCTTGTTCATTCGGAACAATTGTCTGGCTAAACCGCTGCCAAGTTCGCACTTCGTTTATTCTTGAGTCCCGATAGATTAGTGTTGTTCCGGACTTCGGACGTTGCGCAAAGTCTTGCATCGGCCGATCACACTTCGCGCGCACTTGTTCATCCCAGTCCTGTCCATCCGAACTAGCCTCACTAGGTGCGTAGTTATTCCCGTGCACATTTTCTGACATTCGGACCGCATTATTACATGTCCGCAGCACCTCGTGTCTTATTACATAGGACATCGGACCCGAAATATATCACTACTATCTTCGCCTGTAGTTTTCCGAATTTCTATGTACTTACTTAAATACTCTGTAGTGACCTGTAGCAATTATCATCCAGTAGTTAGGAGCTGTTTCCCGACTCTGCGGATCACCCAGAATATTCTCGTAGTTCTTAGTTGCATTGCAAAATATTACCATTCATTCACCGTCATACTCCGTCACTCATTATACTCGCGCATACCGCTCGCAATCCGACACTTGTTATAACGTTTCCAACCTATTATCGTGAAGTCCGAAAGTCCGAAATCTCGGACATCGCACTTTGGCTTCAGACATTGGATAAGTACCTTCGGACATCATTGGATTACCTTTGAACATTGTTTCGCACCATCGGACATTTTGTTATTTGCATTACTGACGCATTTTTACTACTAATAGCAATTAGCAATTCCTTTAGGATCGAACGCACTTGCTCTGCAAGTATAGCAGCATAGGTCGTGCTAAGATCTACCTAAACATTGTTGACTAGGTAGTACAATTTCTGCTGAGCCCAGCGGAGATTAACTCTTTACAACACGACACAACAAATCAGTAGAAGTACGTGTAGATTACCTTGATGTTAGTACACTGACGAGTAGTCTTTTAAGATGGCACCACATAGTTGGCTCTCGGAGGAGCAGCAAACCTTTGTGCTCACCTACCATGAAAGCTTTCTCGAGTGCAAAAAAAAAGGAACTACAACTATTTCTGGCCCCCCTTTTTCGAGAAGTGGGAAGAACGTTGGCCAATCACTCTGGAAGGCTCATTAGAGCCCCTTGATGAGAATGCAAGACTCGAGCAGATGGCTAAGGCAAGGGATGCCCTTCAAATGGTAAGATTTGTATCCTAATTAATGTATTGAAATATTGGCTAATCATGTATGAAACTAGCATTTGATGGTCAAACTACGCAATGACTTTGGTAATTCGAAGATAGGCTGCCGGGCAAACACCGCTGGGAATACCATCATCAGCAAGCTGATTGGCGATATCACCATCAAGTCAGGCAAGAAGAAATCGCGCCCCCTCAATGCAATGGAGGTTTATGCCAAGAAGTATTATGCATCGCGTGTCCAGCCTGCAGTCAAGGAGGAACTCGATGCCATGAAGAACACAGTTGACGCACCTGAACCCAAAAAGCGGGTGATTCAGGTTGTCTGCAAACAACTAGCATCCTGCTGGGAGAATGAAAGTGCGCAGGTGAAGGAAGAGGTCACGAAATTGGCCCAAGAGATGAAGGAAAAGAGGGAGAAAGAGAAAGAAGCCCTGATGGTAGGCAGGGTTATATGCAGACTTACAGAAATACTGTCCACATTTTTCACCGAGTTACATGATTCAACGGGATGGAAATTCAGTGTCTTACTAGCTGGTCCTGACCCTGCGAACACCGGCAAACTCGATGTCAGTAGCCTGCATATTGGAATGACCCTTGCTGGCAATTGGTTCAATCAAGCATGTCTGAAATTCGAGGAGAGTATCATGGTGCCTTACTTTGAGTTTGCATCTCAAGCATTTCGTGAGTCATCTAATGGTTGGTGTCTCTGTTTGAAGCTGATCAAGATGTAGCCAATGCTGCATTATTATTATCAAAGGGAACCACCACGCCTGACCAGAATGATACATCACTGCCAGACACACAGGCGCTGCCAGCCCATAACTCCCATAACTCCGTCACAGCTGATATATCACTCGCTACCATCTCTTCCGCATCCTCTTCCACACCTGATACATCACTCATAACTGTCTCTTCCGTGTTCACTTTCACACTCAATACATCATTCATGGCATCAGTACCATCCTGGTTGCAATCCGCTTACAACTTCTTCCAATTTGCTCCCCCCGATCTTCAAGATGACAATGTTGATCTAGACTTCAACAGTACAATCCTACCGATGCCACCCAACTACAAGCCACCATCTCCGTTAGCTCCCCCTTCTCCAATACAGTTTTCGTCCACTTCCTCTGGAATGGATTGGTTTGCTTCTTCGAGATTATCTCCTCCAACTTCCACCTTGAGATTGGCAGACCTTAATTCTGCTGGTCCCTTGGGACACGACTCTGACAACGCCCTCACAACTTTGCAGAGCCAAGTGTCTCCTCCTTGTCTTCGCCGTATATCATCTGTCCTCACAAAAACTACAAATGCCAATCCTTACGCTTCTGCCCCATACAACAATCCCATGGCAACTCCTACTCTCGTGCATTCTCCAACTTCGGTAGAAATCCCTTCTGTGCAACCATCTTCAGTTGTGCCTGAACCTCCCACCATGGAACCTATTATGGCCACTCCTTCTCCGCCCGCCATGGTTGGTGGGGTGTTACCAGTGACAATGAAGGCTGCTAAACGCAAGTCCACAAAGAGCAATGAGACAGTCTCTGCAAAGTGTCAGAAGAGGGAGGGTGCAGTGGTCCTACCCACTGAGAACTCGCTGTTACGACTTGGATGGTATCTGTTGGCGATGCTCAAACAGAGCTTGTGTCGACAACGGTCTGTGGACGTCCTTGGGCTAGCCCAAGGTTAGGGGTCGTACTTGGCGTATCTTCGGCAAGTACGATTTAACGCCTATGTCCAAATCGGGTAGCTTATGTCACGCGGGTGCGAGACGATAAGCTAAATCGGCCTAGGCTTACGACACCCGAAGGTTAATCGTAAGGATCGTCGTTAATTAGAAGGACAGAAGTCCGACTAGTTAACAGGGGCTTTGCTCGTCGACGAAGTCGATGAGTAAAGGTCGAGACTATAGGCTTATCCGCGAAGAGCAGATAAGAAGATAGAATATAGACTGCTGGCGAGGCAGAAGGATCACTCTGGTGAGAGTAGGAGGTCAAGAACCAAGTAGATTCAAGTTAGGGAATATGGTACATGGTAGCGAGTTTATATAGAGGACAGGAGACGTATTAGTGGATGATAACTCGTACTACCGGGAGAGGCAATCGGTAAAGGGTAAGACCATAACAGGAAGGCACGTTCGGTTTAAGTAGAACGTGCTAGATAAGAAAGTGAGTCAAAGGTCGAATTGAGAAGTGAAACGCGCAGGGGCACGATCGTGCAACTGCGGATCTAAGTATAAGTCGCATGTGCGACTGCGCACCGAGTCAGAGATCAGGAAAGGAAACAGGGCAAAGGGGATGCGTCGTGCATCATATCATAGGTTTACTGTCCGGACGGTAAGGGTAATGGGACTGTCCGCAGGATCAGTCAGGTGGTGAAATGGGGCATGGGTATGCTTCGTCAGCAAAAGGATCCGGCCAAATGTACTGGCTTTGCTGAAGCGACAGGTAGAGGGCGAAAGGGAATGCGAGGATGACGAGGATGACAAGGGTAAGGTCGGGGTAAGGGTATGATGCGAGGGCTGATACGAGGAGGATTAGGAGAAAAATGGTAGGAGCCCAGGCGTCTAGATGTTCTTGTAACATTACCCCGGTTTCTAGGACTGAAATCAACGAGTTCAGTTATCCATGTTGTCATACCAGGAGGGGTCGCAGTCGAGGTCACGGAGTATGTCCATGGCTTCCAAAGCATTCTCTTCTCTATCTTGTTCGAGCCGCGCAGCATCGTGATCATACGCTGCTTCTAACTGACGCATGTCAGTGTAGAACGTTTCCGAGGATATTCCTCGACGAAGGATCTTCTTGCCATGAAGGCGAGGGCAGAAAGGGGTAAGATGTCCAGGGGCGAATAGTCCACAAATGCGGCAGAAGTATCGCTCGCATTGTTTCTGTTTGTGGCCGTACTGGTGGCAGACCCTGCACTTAAAGTTGCACTGGTAGGGTTGTGGGGTCGTCCTAGTGTGCGTGTCGTTAAGCATCTGTTGCCTGGTGTAATCCTGGCCCTGGTACATGTCGGGTGGTAGGTAATCCGAGTGCAAGAATGCGCTCGGTATTCAGTCGGCGACTTCGTCGAGGGGTACGTGTAGGTGGGGGAACAGGGATAGGGGTATCGTCCCTGATGATGGGTGACCCGATAGATAATATCGGTATGTCATCGGTAGAGGTGAACCCTGGAGGGGGAGTGGTAAGACAAGCTTCCAAGCTCGGTTTGTTTTCTTCGTTCGTCTTTCTCCAAGGTGGTGTGCGAGTTTCCTTACTCGACTTTTCTTCTTCGTGCTTCTTCTTCCCTTTATAGGGAGCAGGTAACGGGTCATTGGCTACGACCTCGTCATTGATGATGGCAGCTCGGAGTTCCTCGAGTTCGTCGCTAGTCATCATCCTGTACTGCTCTTCTTCGTGTTCTTCGAACAGTTTGTCGATTTCTTCGGATGTGAGGTTGGTGGGAATAAGGTTGGTTCGTTCAGGGGGAGGAGTTGGAGCACTGCACTCGGCAGTACGCTCGACAACGGTTGCCTGTACAGGCGGTTGGTTGTATGCAATCTCTTCTTCTATTTTGACGACTACGTCGCCGAAATTCCTGGATGCGAGAAGGTTCAAGAGGGCCCTCTTGGCCTTCGTGACGGAGTATCGAGTGATCGGACTATGGGGAAGGATGCCATATGGTCCAGTCGTGAAAGCGACAGTGTCAACTGCCCAAAATGCGTTGACAAGCTCCAAGAGAACCGTGTCTTTGGTACGGTCAATATAGCTGTTGAGTCTAAGCGCGTACTGCGCGTCGAGAATAATGGCCTCCCAGAATGCCTTCTGAGAGTCCGGGGTTTGCGTGAAAGGAACGGTGAACTCGTGGATGAGTTCGACAATGGAGGGTGTGGAACCAAGAGAGATGGAGGAGGCATTGGACGAAGTGGTAGACATGGAGATGATTGTAGCTGGTTAACAACTGAGGAGCTTTGTTGTCAGCTTGAGTCTCTTCTTATAGTCCTTGAGCATCTCCGCTGCGGACTTCAAGTCCTTCTCTGGGATCCACGTTCGTTCGGAGGGTGGGTAGCCAACCCAGGAGACCAGGTATCGGCGTTTCGTTCCGGTACCCCTGTGTTGGAGGATCGCTTCTATTTCGTAATGTTCTTCCCCGTCGATCAGGTCCGGTGGCGGTTCAGTATAGTTTGGGCCATGCACGTCCGTTTCTTGATAGGAGGATAATTCTGATGCATGGAACGTGGGATGAACACGCCAGGTGGCAGGGAGTTCGAGGGTGAATGTGATAGGGGATAGGACCTGTTTAACGGTAAAGGGTCCGTATCGTTTCGGTGCGAGTTTCTTTGAAGGGAAGTGGGTGATCAAATGCGCAGCAGAGAGCCACACCTTGTCCCCAACCTTCCAAGGTTGGTACTTTCGCCCGAACGTGCGTTCTGCCATGCGTTGTTGCGCAAGGCTGTGGCATGCAAGGGCTTCTTCTCGGATCTTCGCGAGTTTCTTGACTCGGACCTCTGCTGCTGGCAGAGCGGAGTCGGGGAAGGCGTAAGGTATGCCTTTGGGTTCATAACCCATCATGAGGTAGAACGGGGATGCGTTCCGAGCGGAGTGTCGTCTGGAATTGTGGACGAATTCGGCCATGGGGAGGTGTTTGGCCCAATCGTTAGGGGTTGTCCTACAATAGATCCGAAGGTAGTCTCCAGCTCCTGGTTCATTCGTTCTGTCTGCCCATCCGTCTGAGGATGATAGGCAGTGGAGAGGGCTACCTGGTAGTCCAGGAGCCGTCCGAGTTCTTTTGCTAGCTTCGAGGCGAATTGTGGGCCTCGATCGGAGATGATTTTGTCGTATAGTCCGAATCGCATAAACACCTTTTTGTAGAATAATTCAGCAACACCTTCTGCAGTGATGGTTTTCTTGCAAGGCGAGAAAATTACCCCCTTCGTAAGCCCATGGTCGACCACGACCATAATGGAATCATAGCCGGCGCTCTCCGGAAGATCAGTGATAAGATCGACTGAGACTTGGGAGAACGGTCGAGTACAGGTGGAGGGAATGGGCATCAGGGGAGGTGTGGTGGGGTGAGTGTCGGATTTCATCTGCTGGCACATAGTGCAGCCATCAACGTATTGTCGGATAAAGGTGCCCATGCCGGGCCACCAATAGCTTTTCTTGACGTTCCATTCGGTATTGGAACGTCCGGGGTGCCCGGCAGTCGGGTGATTGTGGTGGAGCTCCAGAATACGTTTCCGGAGGTCAGGGGGAACGTAGGCTCGGTCCTTAAAATAAAGGATGCCTTCGTCCATGCGCCAGTCTGACAAGGCAGACTTCATAGGGGGGGCGCAGAGGCCATTTAAGGCGTCAGCTGCTGTCTTTATTGTGAGATCAGCAGGGTTATCATTTGCTGCTTTGAACTTTGACGCTAGAGCAGTGTCAATAAGTTTAACAAAGAGCGAATCTGGTAGAAGGACAACGTCCTCATTATCTCGATCCGAATTGTCATGATCCGGTCGTCGGGAGAGAGCATCGGGTGCAGCAAGTTTGCTGCCCGGGACATGGTGGAATTGAAGATCATACTCGCAGAGGGTGAGCTGCCAGCGGGCTTGCCGGCGTGTCAGCGTCTGCGAGGATCGGAAATACAGGAGGTTCTTGTGGTCAGTGAAGACGATCACCGGATGGGGATTGCCTTCAAGGAAGTGTCTCCATGCCTTCAGGGCACGGATAACCGCAAGAAGCTCTCGGTCGTAGATCTGATAATTCCGTTCCGCAGCGTTAAGGGACTGCGAAAGATATCCACATGGGTGGTAGGACCCATTGTCGTCGGTTTGTAGGAGGACTGCTCCTGTCGCAAATAGCGATGCGTCTGTGGCCAGTGCAAACTGGCGAGAGGGGTCGGGGTTCCGGAGTACAGGTTCGGTGGTGAAACATTGCTTTAGCTTCAGGAATGAAGCTTCGCAATCTGTGGACCAAGAAAACACGGTGTCTTTCTTTGTGAGGTCAAGGAGGGGGCGAGCGAGGTCGGAATAATGGGAGATGAAATGACGGTAGAAGTTGCAGAATCCTAGGAAGGATCTGACTTCTTTTACCGTCGATGGAGTCTGCCATTCGCTGATCCCCTTGAGTTTTGCCGGGTCCATAGCAACCTGTCCGGGTCGGATGATCATCCCAAGGTACTCTACCTCTTGGGAGTCGAAAGTGCACTTTTCGGGTTTGAGGAAGAGTTGCTCCTGACGGAGCTTCTCTAAAACCCTACGGGTGCGCATATCTGGTGTTCTGCAAGGTCAGAAGAGAATATTAGGATGTCGTCCATATAGACGATGAGCCATCCTTCATCTATCTCCTTGCTGAACGTCTGGTTCATGTAGGCCTGGAACGTCGCTGGCGAGTTACAGAGCCCAAAGAACATCACTTTTGGCTCGAAGAGTCCAAAAGTTGTCGAGAAGGCTGCCTTCCATCTGTCGTCGGGGTGGATCAAAATATTGTTGTATCCTGAACGGACATCCACTTTGGTGAAGTATTTCGCGTCT